GAGCAGTGGAGGACAGAGGGTCTTGGAGATGTTTCATCCACAGGGTCGCTGTGAGTTAGGATCAACTCAAAGGTGGTTAACAACAACATTTATATACTTTGCTTTAATTCAGTAATTATCTCAGGATGAGAAAGTTGCTTTCATGTCCTTCACTGCTTCTCTTTTGAAGAATTTCTTTCCTTTGCAGACAGCCAAAAATAGTGCACATTAAATTGAGGCACTGCCCTGGCTCAGTGCTAGGGAGTCATGGGAACTGTAATTTATTGTGGCACCAGAGCTCTCTGACAGAGAAGGCTCAATGTCCCAGAAAAAAATACAATTCCCATGACTCCCTAGCACTGAGCCAGGGCAGTGCCTCAATTTAATGTGCACTATTTCTGGCAGTCTGCAAAGGCCCTTAAATTTCTATCTCCATACTGTTTTTCCAACTCCAGCTCAACTTTTCTATGCCTCTTCTCTCATCCGTTGCCAACTTGCTGTTCCATGGCTGTATATCTCTCTGGATAGCTACAATACAATTTATACAGTTACCTGCTTTCCCTTTCCAAAATGTTGTTTTATTCATATTCTTTGCTGTTTCTTTAACCCTCCTGATATAAAATTGTTCATTGTTTTCTCCCCATCTGCTGGATGTTGGGGTTTTTTGGCCACTGATTTCTGTGCTTTCCCAATTTTTATTTTTTCCATTCTTTTTTTTTCTGCAGTAACATTGGCTGCATCCAAACTGCAGAAATAATCCAGGTTGACACCTGGCTCAATGCTAGGGAATTCTGGGAATTATAGTTTGTTGTGGCCCTGACATAAAAGGCTCGATAGCTCACAAAACTACAGTTCCCAGAATGCCATAGCATTCAGCCATGGCAGTTAAATCAGTGTCAAACTGGACTATTTCTGCAATGTGAATGCTGTCCATTGTGTGGAAATACCTTTTTCAAATTACTGGAACTCCTTTATGACAGGGAAGGTCCTCCACCCTTCAGTTTCTTGGACTGCAGCTCCTCAGTATTGGCTATGTTGGCTAAGGCTCATAGAAACTGCAGTCCAACAAGATTTGGTCAGTAGCACTTTGCCCACCCTTGACTTATGAGAACTTAAATCATGCCATCTGAGATCACATTTGGGCACTGAACTGGACATACTAGCTGTGAATATTGTTGTTAAGATTACACTCAAAAGCTTGTGCAATACTGGTTACAAGAATAAGCCTTGAGCCAAGAGGTTCCTAGTTCAAATCTCACAAGGGCTGCATCTGCATTGCAGAAATAATCCAATTTGACACCACTTTAACTGCCATGGCCCCATGCTCTGGAATCCTAGGATTTGTAGTTTGTTGTGGCCCCAGAGCTCTCTGGTAGAGAAGGCTAAATGTCTCATAAAACTGCAGTTCCCAGAATTCCACAGCACTGAACCAGGGCAGTTAAAGCTCTCAAACTGGATTATTTTTGCAGTATGGATGCAGCCTAAGTGGCTTTAGGCAAATCATGTACTCACCCAACAACACAAACAGATGCAGTTTCTCAGATGTCACAGGAGTGCCATCCCTGGTGCAACAAATCTATCCACAAGCACAAATCCAGCCTTCAGTCTCAGGTTTGACTTGGGAAGATTACCAACCAATGCACATTGGAAGATGAGGGAAGGGTCTATCACCATGTCTATATCCAGGGGTCTTTTTCATCCGTTAAATTAAAAACAATGGTTTCCAAAACTTTGGTCCTCCAGATGTTTTAGACTTCATCTCCCAGAATTCCTGACTGTTGGCCAAGTGGCTGGGGCTTCTGGGAGTTGAAGTCCAAAACACCTGGAGGAGTAAAGTTTGGGAATCGCTGAGCTAAAATCCTAGATGAAACACATCCATTGCATTCACTGCTTTTGTTATTGTCATGTGCCTCCAAGTCATTTTTTGCTTATGGTGATCCTAAGGCAAACCTATCATAGGGTTTTCTTGGTGAGTTTCTTCAGAAAGGGTTTGCCATTGCCATCTTCTGAGGATGAGAGAAAGTGACTTGCCCATAGTCACTCAGTAAGTTTTGTACTCAAGTGGGGAATTGAACCCTGATCTCCAGATTTGTATAGTCCAACACTCACACCACTAGACCATATTGACTCTGCATTCACTGCACCAAAAAAGTATCCAAGATGGCACTGTATATCTGTAATTTTTTTGTGGCTCACTTCTTGTCTGAATGAGATCATGTATACAGATACAAAATGCTGATTTCTGTTATGGTTTTAAAAATACATAATTGTAATTTATCATATTAGATAGAAGTACTCTTAGATGTGTAATTTTATGATTTTTAGTCTCTTAATTTTAGCAGTGTTTTTTTTTATTGTAACTGTATTTTTATTGTTAGTAGCCCTGAGCTGTTATGAGGAAGGATGGGTATAAATCAAATCACATAAATAAGTAACTACCTGGTGGGGGGAAACAATGTTTCCATAGTTTTCTTGCTGTTAAATGACTGCTCCAAATTTGATAGATGCTGACTTTGTTTTAATCATGTATTTTTGTGTTTCTTTTACATTTTGCAATGGCCTGGAGTTAATAGCAACAAAACTGAGATGGTACAGCAGGAGGAAAAATTATCTCTGAAATACAGAATCATTCAGAAAAAGGACTTCCAGGAAATAATTCCTTTTAAGGCTGAATTCATATGAACACATATTATTTTGGGACAAAGACCAATTGAAAGCAATGGTATTTGCCTCCATGTGAACATGCACAGTACTGGCCTGTACAAGTTTTAATAGCATGCAGAGTTTCTCAAACACTGGAACCCCTGGGTTCTGCAAATGGTTCAGATTCCAGAAAACATAATGTCTGGGGGAAAAATTGTGAGCTATAGATAAATAATTGTATTGTAGGGTATTAGGGAGGCTCCAGTCTCTTTGGAGGCATGGGTTTGAATCCCACCACTGCAACCAGGCAAGGGTTCTCTGGCCCCCTTGTGATCCTGTATAAGCTGGATCCCTTGAGACCCCCTTTCTTACCTATAATAATAATAATAATAATAATAAATTTTATTTATAACCCACCTCTGCATCGCAATCGAGGCGGGGAACAGCAATAATAAAAACATACATTTTAAAACATTCCTTATCCCAAATCCAACCCTCCCACCCCTTAAAACTAAATTAAACTATTTTAAAAAAACCTAGTTAACTCACTGCCATCCCCCATTGATTTGAATCCTTTTTCTTTAGCAACGCAATGGGGCATTGCTGGGATCCCACTGGTACTTCCTTTGCAGAGATGCTTCCCTCCATTTCCCAATCCTGGGGAAGAGGCCCAGGGCTTCCCAAATTTGGGTCCTCCAGATTTTGGGACTTCAGCTCCCAGAATTCCTGACTTTGCAAACCTGGTGGGGGCTTCTGAGAGTTGGACATCCAAAACACCTGGAGAACTTAAGTTTGGGAATCACTGAGCTAGGCCAAGCCAAGGCATGTGAAAAAGGAGCATGAGAGAGTACTTTTCAAGAAAAAGGTTTCATTCTAAGTAAGGAATCTTTACAGCAACAGGATAGCTCTTTACATGAAGAACCATCTTGTCCTTCATGCATATATTAGAAATTACAAATTACAGACAGATTAGATCATTTCAGCTAAATCAGGAAAACAAACTCCAAAACCTGATGCAACTAGCTAATACTCTCTCCTAATTTTACTCACAGATCAGATGGGTTTTGTAGTTCTTGATGTTTATGGATAGCTGGGAGTCTGGTCTCCATTGTCCTGCCTCCACCAGCCTTCCCAAAGCAAAGCTCTTGGCTCCAGGTATTGCTTTTTCAGAACCTCCTCATGGTCCACTGAGAGAGAAGCTGCATTTGCACCTCAGAATTAATGCAGTTTGACTGAGAATTTAGTTTTGTG